GATATTTGACATGTGCATCTATTCTGAATTAGGGAAGCTTTTTAGGGGGAGGCATGGGGGTGGCATGCAAGCTGTCAAACCAGGAAGAGCCGCTGGAGGAAGTGATGCATAAATCTAAATGGTCGGCATGTTGTTTTGAATGTCAGCATATGACAGTGCCCTAAGTGATAATGAGAAGTTTGACCTTTATCAGTACATTGCCCAAAACCACCAGTACATACATAAATGGAGAGAGAGATGCAGCTAGCTCAACTGATTTTTTTAAAGATTCCTGTTTTATAAGAGAAGGAACCTGTTTTTTCTGTCATTTTACTGACAGTTCTTCTGTGTTGCCATTTCCTTATCTCTCATCAGACTCCTTCCGCTTTTATGTTTGCAGTTGCTTATTGCTGATTTGAACTGTCTGCCTACATACCAAATAAAACTGTAACACAATGTACTAATTTAGTTTAGCAGCTTCAAGATATTGCAAATGTATTGGCCAGATCAAATTTAAACTAGCACTGATGACGGTTTACTTTTATTCCCACTTGAGTCCCTTCTCCATCTTATTATATTTCCTGATTAGCAAGATATTAGTATATTCCTTTAATGAATAGTTTTTAAAACTTAAGCATTATATTGTCAAGTCATAGATACATTATCTAAAAACTTGGAGATTTGACTTTTGGTTGAGTAAATATTCCTGTTCAAAATTCAAGAGCATGCATACACTATATGTCAGGATTTAAGCCATGCATACATAATTCAGCTAATTCCAATTGTATATGCAAGCAATACTTTTTTTGTTTCATGTTGCTGACAACATCTAAGAGATTATAAACATTAAAAAAGCTACAATCCAAATTTATATTTTACTTAGATCCAGCTAACAATACAGTATCTTTGAAACAAGATAAAATACTAAAGTCTCTCTCAAACACAGATGGCATCTTTCCTTTCTTCCCTCCTCTAAAATAGAGTATGTCATGATTCCCTAAGATATTATACTCCAGTTTCTCAGAGTATTAGAAACATGCAGCAGTGTCACAAGATGTTTCTGCCCTACTGACTACCAAAATGTACTTAAGAAGTTACCTTTTCCACATATCCTGGAAGAAGCCGATTTATCAATTTGCAAAGTACTACTCCATCTTTCAGAGAAGCTTTCAGGAACTGCTCTGGATCACCTATCATCTTTTTGGGTGAATTTAAAACTCCTAATGAAATAAGCCATGTCACGATCCGCTCTTCTGAATTCATCGTTGAGAGTTCTGCCTTCAGTGCAGAAGTTTTCTGCAGCTACTAGCTCTAACCCACATCCGTGATTGCATCTTCCTGCCTCTTCTAGTGACTGCAGGGCTAAAGTTTGAAACAACTGTACTGAAAACCTCTGACACTTGTGATTTTTATAAAAACTAGAAGCTATGCTCATTCTAAAGGAAGAAACAAGCTTGTGGCTATATAAATGGCTTGAGATCCTTTATTGTGCTCTCAGTGAAATATTTACTGTTGCTCGTAAATAAAAAAGGATATCCTCTCTGCTTAGAAATTTGTATCACACCCATCAGTATCTGAGTACTTTATCCTATCATAAGGTCTTTCTCCTATTCCACAAAGTCTTAAGCATATAAGTAATTCCCCTCATCTGTAGTCTCACTGAAGTTGATAGCAATATATGCATAACTTTATTCATATATGTTAAGTGTTTGCAAATTTGTGCAAAAGCAAGACTAGTCAACAAGAGCTTGAAAATTTAATTGCAAAAAATCATGAAGACATTCTGGAATAATTTTGTTTCACTGTGTGAATTTCTTTCACAAATCTTACATAAAGCATTTATAGAATACATTGGATTTTTCCATGTTCAAAATCTGATATATTTTTACACGAATTTTTCAGGCAGTTTAGCATCATGGTGAAATTTCTTCTATTTCCCACCCTAAACATACATGCCTCCCATTAAGAATCACTTTTGAAAAGTTAACCCAAGGACAGAAAAATTATAAATGAACACTGATCAAAATATTGATAGGAACATGAAAAGTTTTACAAAACAATGTAGAAGAAAGCACATTTCTTCTTTGAGTGCTTGCTCATGTGCATTCCAATATGGATGATTGTCGGAAGAGTTTTCCCTAGTGGTACCTGTTGGATTGGCTGTAGCACCCCTGGTAGTGATGCCTCACAGCATCATACATATACCCCTGCTGACCTGACTCCCACTTCAGTTCCTTCTTTCCACCAGTGACGGTTGCTGGAGCTTTGGACTTCTTGCTTAGCAAGTGGTTCTTCCCTAGTGCATAGTTAAGAGTTCTTCATTGTGTCGATAGAGTTGTTCTCACTCAGGCTCTGTCTAGACTGCATTCTTCTCTCAAAAGATCAAAAATTCAAATGAAGCGCGGATTTACAAATCTTGTGCTTCATTTGCATAATTGTGTCCGAGTGCTTTTTCGAAAAAGGGTTTTAAAAAAAAAAAACAAAAAAAACCTGTAGTCTAGACGGGGCTCCTTCAAAAAAAAACCAACCCCTTTTTTGAAAGAATCCGTACTCCTGAAAAAATGAGGTGTACCGGTTCTTTCAAAAAAGGGTTTTCTTTTTCTTTTTCTTTCAAAAGAACCCCATCAAGACTGCGGAGGGTTTTTTTTGAAATCCCTTTTTTGAAAAAGCGATCGGATGCAATTATGCAAATGAAGCGCGAGATTTGTAAATCCATGCTTCATTTGAATTTTCGATCTGCTTCATTTGCATTCCTCTTTCAAGAGTGGAATGCAGTTTAGACAAGCCCTCATACAGTTAGTATCTCTGTGGGCGTTTCCCTCTCCACTATCTGCCAAGTCTGTGGGGCATGTAGCTGTCCCAAGGGTTTAAACAATGTGTTAAGTGCAGGAAGCATATGCTTACAGGTGACCCACACACTGACTGTTTGCAGCATCTTGGAGAAGGCCATCTTCAGGATAAGTGTAGCTACTGCAGGGGTTTCAAGCCCCAGACCAAACACACGAGAAATCAGAGGCTTAAGTTCCTGCTAATGGAGCTGGCACTTCAGCCCCATGATGCAGATTCAGCTCCCTCCATCTGTATTGTGCCAGCCTCGGAGTGGGACACTTTGGCAGTAGGAGCACCGGGACTATTGTCACCGATCCCCCACATGTAAGGTGAGCTTCTTGGCATAGCACCACTCCCATTCACCGGTGCCTAAGAAGAAGAAAAAGACTGAGGATGCTCTCCTTTCTAGTAAGGCCCCCGTGGCCACCCATGCAGCACCAAGCCTGCCCAAGTCGGGCCCCCCAGCACCATTGTCTCCAGCACCCAGGGCAGGGCTGTCAAGTCCAGTGTTGGTCGACTCTCCAGAGCCCATCATGGTGGAGCAGCACCACCATCTGCTGACAGCATCGCTGACGACAACAACAGCATCGCCCATGTGGCACCAGCCCTGGCTCCTCCATGAGCAGACAGCTCCTGCGGTGGTGCCAGTGATGCTACTTACAGTGTCATACGTTGCCCTATGTTTTTTCTGGCCCCCTCGGCACCAGGCTCCTTCTCTTTGATGGCTCCTGTCTCACCCATACACCTGCCCTGCAGCGCAGACACGTTAGGCCCCTGCAACCTGCCCGGTTTTTCCCCCAGTCCTCCCACCATAACAGTTAGTGCAATAACAGGAGGGGATCTCCTCAATCCTCCACCAACCAACACCTGGGCACCTCTCAACAGCCCTCCATGCCCAAGTTCCAATTTTTAGGGTGCACTTGAGGACAGAGCACCAGACTCAGTTCCAGATCCTGTCCCTCCCTTTGGGAACAGTTTGTCCCACTTTTACCAGGCATGGTCGCAGAGCACCTCGGACCGGAGCGTCCTGAGCATGGCAGAGTGGGATACTCTATCCACTTCTGTTCCCTTCCTCCCCACCATGCCCCCTCCCCATCCCTCTTCAGGGACCCTTCTCATGAACACCTTCTCATGCAAAAGGTCCAGTCACTCCTCACAATAGGTGTGATAGAGGAGGTTCCTCAGGAGTTCGGGGCAGGAGGTTTTACTCACGATACTTCCTCATCCCCAGGTCTAAAGGGGGTTTACTCTCCTTTCCTTGGCCTCAGGAACTTAAATGCATTCATATAAAAATTATAGTTCCACATGGTATCCCTGGCCTCCATTATCGCTTCCCTGGATCCAGGGGACTGATATGCTGCCCTCGATCTCAAGGACACATACTTTCTCGTTGACATCCCGACACACAGACAGTTTCTGCATTTTCTTATGGTGGGCAGACATTACCAGTTCACAGTGTAGCCATTCGGCCTGGCCATGGTGCCCTGAGTTTTTACAAAGTCTATTGCAGTGGTGGTGGCTTCTCCACTGGAATGAAAGTTAAAAAAAATTTTCTCAACAAGCTGTAATTCAGGACCTACCATACTGAAAGCAACAGACTATTCCACTCTATTTTGGAAAGTTAAAAGCAAATCTAATTGCAGTGTGCATAAAGAACTCCCATGAGGCAGATTTGGGAGAAAAGAAAGCCCAGTCTATTAGGCTATGTCTAGATTGCAAGCCTCTTTTGAAAAAGAGCGTTTAGACTACAACCAGTACTTTCAAAAAAGCAAGCAGCTTTTTTGAAAGAGAGCACCCAGGCAGTCTGGATGCTCTCTTTCAAAAAAGCAGTTTGCATTACATAAAGCATTTTTTCGAAAGAGCACTTTTGAAAAAAGACATTCTTCCTCGTAAAACGAGGTTTTCCGCGGTTGAAAAAAATTGCCGTGTTCTTCCGATTTACTTTCAAAAGAACGCGGCAATGGTCTAGATTCAGGGGAAGTTTTTTTGAAAAACTGCCACGTTTTTTCGAAAAAACCCTGTAGTCTAGACACACCCTTAGTGTAAGACATTGAAGTATGTGATTTAGAATAGGGCAGCTGTCCTTTCTTCTGTTCCTTTCAGAACTTGCAACACCAGAGCCAGAACACACATCCTATCTAGTAACAAGCTCATGCTTCTCAATGGCTGAGGGAATATGGTTCATCAAGGACAAAAGACAAGATAGGTCTTACGTGGAGTTATAAATGGTTATCCTTCAAAGCAGCAAATGACAGCTCAGGATGGGA